CAAGCTGGATTTTGACCCCAGCTGGGTTCCTCCTGGTGGCACTGGGGCTCTGGAGGGGATGGCGGCAGCACCCCTCTTCCTCCAAACCTTGGACCAAAGTGCTCACCTGAGCTTCTGCTTCAGTGGGTCATTGCAGGATGGGCTAAGTGGAGGTCGGCAGTGTGAGCTACAGCTGAATTAAAAGGTAATGTAAATGTCTATTCATATATAAATAATACATCAATAACTCTGTATGTTTCTATATGTTTAAATATGCATGCTGTTCTCATCCTGGTGTTCCTATACCTTGAACTAGTTCACAGCTGGACTGAAGACGAGGAGAAATGATCCATTCCTGGTGTCAGTTTGAGCTGGGTGACAGCACCTTGTCACTGTAACAGCACATGCATTTGGGATCAGTGGGATGGAAACAAAACATCACTTGGGACCTAGGGAAAGGCTTTCTCCTGTACATCACACAGGAGCTTCCAACTGTAAGGCTTCCTGCACCTTCCTTGCCACTGTCAGGTACAAGCTCCTGCATTAAGCAGAACTCCAGATTTGATGCAGCCTTAATATATATTATTGTTCTTTTTATTGTCCCATCCATGTCCCCCTCAAAGCATATTTCCCTTCACATGTCTTTTTGCATTAAATTACAAAGGGCAATATCTTTAAATATGGCAACAAATAATAGCAAAAAAAAATCATTTAACAGATGCACTGTTAAAAGGAACTTATACTGTAGAGTATTCGGATACTAATGGAATACTTGTGAGTGTTGATAATATCTCTCCAGTCTTTGGGGTATTTGGGATCAATGTTTGAATTTCTGCTTTATATATTGTGACAAACTCAAATCTAACCCAGAAGGAGGTCTGAGAATTGGTCTGGGGTCATTCAAACTTAAGAACAAATCAAAGCATCCCATGAGGGTGCTTAGCTGAACCCCAGAACTTACCCCAGCAGAGTGCAGACAGTGGTGACACTTTCAGAGGAGCCAAATCATTTAACTTCTGGTGGTTCCATGGCCCGGGAAGTCTCAGCATCGCAATGCCATCTAGTTGTGCCTTCATGCATCCCCCAGAACATCATCATTCCCTGACCTACTTTTATCTCCAACAAAACCTTTTCTATTCTTATTTTTCCTGCTCCTTGTCCTGGTTTTCTGCTTGCTTTCCATGTTATGCCTCTACATGTACATTTAGGGCTTACACACTTTTTCTGGCTGTTTTCTTGTAAACATGTTTTTTGGCTGCAACCCACCCATTACACATCCGAAGGATGACTGATTCGCAAGTGTCTTCAACAGAAAAATCGACTGCTCTGCTCTTTTATTTTCCTCTCCAGAGATCCCCCTGGACTTCCTTCTCTGCTGAGCCAGTGTTCAGGCCTGCCTGCTCCCCAGGGACACTTAGGGAAGCTTTAAGGATTCCCTGTATTGATTTTTAGGTCCCAGGGAGCCCTGGGAAGAAGAGGGCTGTCGAAGTGCATTGCTCCTTATGGTGGGGCCATGCATGACTGCCCCAGAGCTCTCACGCGAGGTCCGTGATGGAGCTGCGCATCCATGCTGGTGACGTGCACACAGGCAGGCCAAAGAAACGTGCCATGACCACCTCTGTCTCCAAAGCAGGAGAGCATTCCCTGAGCCAGCGAGGGCAGCAGCTCCTGACTGCTCCGGCAGCTGCATGAGCTGCACAGACCCTAATGCTGCTGTTTCTCATTTATTCACCTGCTTTTTGTTTCCCTTTTCCTCCCTCCACCCTCTCACAGACGGATTTCCCTCAGACAGGACCTCCCTGTGGCTGCCTCTGCGGGTGTTGTTCCTTCTGCTGAGCTCGAGGCACAGCATAGGGGTGGGCTGGGGGCTGAGTTTGCTGGAAGGGCATTGCTTTGTACTGACCAGATGTGCTGAATTTCTCACTCTGGCTCCCTCTGAGCAGCCCCCTGCTTCCTCTTGACCTTGCTGTAATTTAGATTCTCAGCCTTTTGCCAGTCCCTGCAGCTGATTTATTCTCCTGATGTTTAATGTTGGATTTGCCTCCTTGGAGGAAGGTTATATCCACCTTGGAAATATTTGCAGAGCAGAATTTGTCTTTTTTTATTATTATTATTTATTTTTTGCTAACTCCTTGAGAGCAAACTTGTGTTATGGTATGTGGCTAGCCTGCAGTTCCCCAGCTAGCAAATTCTCTGATGGTCTGGTCTCTATGCAAGCATTTGCGTTCTGTCATTAAGCCTTTAGAGATCTTGCCAGCCACTGGTTTGGCATCCAGTCATTCTCAGCAGGACTGGTTGCCTGTATCCTGTCTTTAGCTAATGCACTGTCAACCACAGGGTGAAACTCAGCCAACATGATCTCTATCAGTCTTTCAAGGACCAACAGTTCTGCCATGTGGACTGGAGTCCTGCACCCTGGGCTGATCTATTTATTAAAGCGCTCTGCCAATCAGTAGACCTTGTCAAAAATGTTTCCCCTTCTCCTCTCCCTCCTCCCTGGAAAATGTTGATGTGAGTAACAAAATGTTTGTTTTCATTGACTTATTCCATGGAAATTTACAGGTTCAATTGAAAAATGAAAGATATGTTTTCAGCTGTTGAAGAGGTTTCACTTTAAGTCTTTTCAGATTTCCAATAAAAAGAAAATAATTGAAAATTTTCAAGGAAAGGCATTAATCACATGGGTTTCACTGAAAGCAGAGCTTTCCAGAAAGACTGCTCTTTGCTTACTTTCACAGTGACTGAATGGTTTTCCTACCTCAAAGCTGCTCCTGCAGGATGGCTATAAGGTTTGCTGGACAGTGTTGATTGCAACAAAGCCAATAAGTTAATACGGGTGTCCTGTCTTGCATTTTGACCACAATATCATCCTTTTTTGCTCATCTGAGCATATCTGGTCCTGCCTACCCCTCCCACCAAATCTTTCCTTACCCTTCTAGCCGTAAACACACACATAGGAGCATGTCTTTATTTTCATCCAGGCCATGGGCTTCCTACTTTATGCACCAGAAAGTGAGGCATTGAGTCATACCCAGCTCATTAGGTTCTGCTCTGCTGTACAAGCATGAGGGAAGGTGGAGAGGATTGATGAGATAAAGCCTGGAAGCACTCCATTAGTGAGATGTGCTCACAAAGCCACTGTGATCACTGGAATTAAGCTTTAAAATATTCTGAGCAAATATTGTCTCAGTTCTGAGAATTGCCTTTGTGTGTGTGCGCATGCGTGCAAGTGCATGCGCCTGTTTTAGCCAGATGCTCTGGCTCAGCCTCCTTGAGTTTGGCAGAGGCCTCTTGGACCCTGTGGCTTCAGCAGAAGCTTGGACCCATGGCCTCAGCACCTAGTGGCTTCCTTTGAGATGGTCTCCAGCTTGATGGGAGATATCAGGCAGTCATTTAATCATGCGGATGCTCTGGGAGCAGCTGCACTGATAGGAGAAAGCTTTGGAAACCAAAGAACCTTCCCCATACCTCTCAGCTTTGAGAGAGGCACGCTGCCTCTTGCCTGCCCGGCTCTGGAGGTACAAGTGTCCAGGATCAAATACCTCTTTCCTGGTTGTATGTGATGCATGGCCTGTTGGCCGCTGGGCTTCTTGTTGTCCCTTTAGGGCATATCCATCAGCTGTCTTCTGTCTTCCAGTACCTCTCTGAAGTAGATTGACTCAAGAGACTGATCATTACAAACCTGGTAGGAGAGGAACAGGTATAGGCACTTCTGCTCCACACTCACTTTTTCCTAGCCTTGTACAAGCTGCCTTTGTGAGGGGAAGCAGTGGTATTCAGAGTACCATCTGAAGCAGTAACAGAACAGGGAAAGACGGCACCTCTCACTGCATCTCTTTGTGCCTGACCATCCTCTTCTGTCTTTGCTGGCTGGTAACTTTGGGACAACCGAATAGTCAAGAAGTAGAGCTGACCAGCACATCTTCATATTTCTACATCCTCTTCCAGTCTCATGGGACCATGTCCCTATGACTGGTGCAGGGAAGGGGACACGAGAATTGTGTTTCATTAGTGCAAACCTTGGGGCAGTTGGTGCTTCACTTCAACACTTCTGTTGTGTCATGCACAAAATTGCCAAAGAGCTGGGAGGGGAAATGCGTGAAGAGTGGGTTTTATTTTAGAGAGTGCAGTCCTGTCAAAACTCCAAATGTCTTGAAACATTTTTAGGATGAAAATCTATGTTTTTTTTAATCATGAAATAAATTTTTATAATGCGGTGCGTTAGGTAACATACAATATAAAGTAAATAACTTCAACCAGTCTTGACCTGATCTGATAAGAAAGTTTGGTGTGTTTTTTTTCCCCCACAGAGATTTAAGTCAGATTCAGGTTTTATCTGGTATTGAAGAGAAAATCCTTCTGATCTTCAGTGACTCCAGATTGCAGTTCCTCACTTTTTTTTGTGAAACAAAGTCTTGGTCCACCATGGAACTTAACTTAGTAGAAACATTTTGTTTTAGGATGAAACCCTATTAATGCTGCATAACCATTCAGTTGAAGTCCTCTTACAAAAGGCTCAGTCTCCCACCTGGAAAACAGGAAAAGTGCCATGCAGCTGACATGACTGATCATGCTCATGCAGGCCAAATCAAGTGTGATATCAGTGAGGAAGAGGAACAACCCTGTGCCTAGGGCAACGGTCTGGGACATGAGATCTGGATTCTCTGTTTCCTGCAAACTATCCCTGTGGCCATGGCCCCATCACCTGAGATCATCCTCATTACATAGCAGTCCCCCATGGCCATTACCGCCTTGGCAATGGCTATCAATGTGCTATTAGTACTGATTAATTGCACTATGTGCGCAAAACCCCAACCTGATGACGAAGGTAGGCAGAAGTGATGGAGGTGATTTGGTATTGCATACCAGCTCTTCAACAATAAGGAAATATGCAAGCCTGTTTCCTCTTGTATCCTATTTCATTATGAAAACTTTGGGGGGAGGTAGGAGAAATGCACCAGTTGGAAGTCTGCAGCAAGCTCACAACTCGAGGAGCTTGTGGGACACAAGACCTGTAGGAGTAAACCCAGCAAGGGTTAGGTGAGGTGAGAAAGTTTTATTTTTGAAGCAGCACAGAGAGAGGGGGAAGAAGGAAAGGACAGAACAGCTGTAACGACATATTTGTTGCTGACTGGTCCAAAGGAATGTGTATAAACAGCTTTAGATGTATTTTCCTGAGCATGCTAAGTGTATTTACTGCCTCCTTTAATTGGTCCTGCCTCAAGTTAGCCAGGACTAAGAGTTCCCATGGGAAGTACACTTCACTGACACAAACGGTCTGACAACTGGTGTCCCCACTGCAACCTGTGTTAATGATTGCCCCCGAGCTGTCCTTTCTCACAGCCTCCTGCCAGAGTGCCCAGGGCAAGCTGATATTTGGCCCTGCCTGAGGGTCCACTGGACAGATAGCTTTACTGCAGGGCAGCAGCAGGGCCTGGCTGGTACCAGCACTGGATCGGACAGCACAGGTGTAAAAGGCTGCATCTCCCTCTGGGGAAGGCTGATCCGTGTAGCTGAGGATGCTTGAATTTATTTCCTGTGCTGGTCACAAGCTCCTTGACTCAACCTGAGCAAGTTGCAGGCAGAGGCTCCCAGAGCAGGGGCTGCATTTTCCTGATGGGCCGGTTCCTGTGCAGGCACTGACAACTGACACCAACAAAGATGGTTTTGCATGTGCAAATGCCCCTGCACACAAAGTGATTGTTCCCAATATACAGCCACTTTTTCTGAAGAGTTCAGTGCAAGCAGTCAGCAAAAGGAGGGGGAAAAAAGAACAAACCAGTTTCTCATGGCAAAATGTCATTTTGATGGAACTGACATTTTTTGCAAAGCCAGTATAAATTTCAATGTTTTGTTTTGTTTGTTTAAAAAAACAAACACAGAAAATGTCCAAATACGTAATATTGACATTTTCAGAACCAAATGTTTTGCTACTCCATCCTGGCACAGTTCTTAAAATTTGAATGAACTTTTTCATAAAAATACTACAAAGAGACTAAAGGAAATAACGATTTTTACGTTCCTCCAAAGTACTGGGTCTTCCACAGATTTTATCTTTTTGCTCTGACTCAAGACTTGAGCCCATCCATCAAAGAGAAAATGAGTTGCCCTTTTTTGGGAAATGCATGGTTTACTTCACTGGCTAAGCCAGTTAGTTGTGAAAATGTTTCCAAAGAGCCATGCCTGTGGTTGGTGATCTTTCAGGCAGCCGGCATCCTCCTGCAAGCTGAGCTGTGCATAAGCCTGAAAAATGCATCCTTGGCAGGGTATCAGCACTGTTGGCTTCCTGCACAGGGAGCGTCAAGGCAGAGGCAGGGTACAACACAGGTTATCACCGCATGTCCAAAGGCAAGATAAAGTGAAAACTTAATCAAGCCACTGGACTTTTAAGAATTGCTGTCTTTGAAGGTGCTTGAGTGCAGGAAATGTTGTGGAAGGGAGGAATTAGGGGGGAGCTCCTGGATGCAGAGTGATACAAAAGCATATCATGGGGTCTGCTGCTGCCTTGCGTGCTGCCAGACTGTGGGCCAGCAGAAAGTGCTGATAGGAAGCACTGGTATGACTCTGGCTGGTTTTGAACTCCTGTGTTAATACTGACTATAAGTATTGATTAGGATTGCAATTCTCCATCATCCATTATATTGCCTTGCGTGTACCAATAGAACCAAGAGGGAGTGAAAAACTGAGCAGTGGGTTTGCATTTGGCGACCCTGATGCTAAGCTGGGTTTGGGAGCTCCAGCAAGGCTTGGTTCACAGTGGTGTTGATCCTCTGGTTTTCCTTCTCTTTCACTCCCATCTTTCCTTCAAAGCTCTCTTCCCTTCAGTGTTTCCTGAGTCCCACCAGCCTCTGACGTGTCAAACATGGCTCTCAGGACCTGGCGGCAGAGCCTCCCCACGTGCCCAGGAGGTGATGCAAGTCACACCCGTCATTCAGCAGAAAATGTTGCAATAGGGTAATGAGGAAATTTGCGCAGGACCACTGAAGGGAATCAGTGACAAAGAAAGGCAGAAAAATCAGCCCCAGAAGAGAGCAGATATCTCCCACCAGAAAGGTTGGCCTTCAGGAAGTGTGGTGGGTCAAGCACCAGGAAGACACGGTGTCACACGTGACACATGTGCTGACCCTCCAAGAGCTGTTTCTATTTCATGTGGTGCTCTGAGCCCTGAAGACCCCCTGTTTGGTCCCTCAGGGCAACATTAGCAGGGGTTGCTGCCACAGTTCCAAAGAAGTCAGATTTTAAAGCTGGCTGACGGGGCTACAAAAGCCTTGAGTACAGTCATCTGCTTTTGATTTCGTCTTCCTTGAGCTATTCCCCATCGTGCTTTTTTCTCCCTTTCTATCCATCCCATGACATCTCTCCCCCCTCTCCTCCTGTGGCCCTCACCAACCCCAACTCCACCCTTTCTCTGAGTGTCCCAGTTAGGAAGCAAAGAGGTAACTACGTGCCAGCTAGTACCTTCTTATCTAGTCACAGTATGTTCCCCTAAGAGAATTTTTGGCCTGGGATTGTGTGTGTGTGTGTTTTTATATGCTTTATTTTTATCACAGAAGGGATAGACAGTACATTATGTCTTCAGTCCAGGAGGTTACACATTAGATAAGAGACAGGCAGATATACTACAACTGCTCCAGCCTGTGGAGTTATGTTCCTGCAATAGCACCGGGAATGTAACAGGTAAACTGCTTCCAACCCCCCACATTCAGGCAGTGGATTTTCTGTCAACAAAACCAGATCCCAGCAGAGATTTCAATGTTGATGCTCCTGCAGCCAGAGAATAAAGTCCACCGTGCTCCCTCCATCTCTGTCATGCTTGTACCTCCTCACCAGTCCCAGCCTCCCATCTCCCCTGTCCCGTCTGCTCTTCCTCTGGCTTCATCTTCATGCCTCTCTGTCAGTTTCTGATCTGGACATGTGGTACAGTTCAGCAATCATCCTGAACTCCTTCATTCAAAAGAGAATGGGGGGAGGAGGGAATGTAGGAAACGGTGGCATCAACAACTTCATGATAGCAAATGCTAACTAAAGCAGAGAAAGGGGAATTTTAAAATATTATATTAACAGCTAGGATTGGAGATGGTTTATCTGTGGCTGCTTCTTGCACCTTTCTTAAACTGTCTGGGCTAGTTATAATGCTGTAGACTGAATGATAGTTTTTAAAGGATTAAGGGTGAGGCACAGTATGGTGGTTCCTTTTTTACTGTCATTGCAAGAACAGTGTCCTTACCACACTGTGTCAGGCTCCAGCAAGCATCCAGGATCTGGCTCACCAGTCTCACCACCAATCACAAAGCTCAGGGGCACCTGGCCACTTCCATGAAGCATCTTTAGTCTGGCAAGGGAGATGTTGCTGAGCCTTTGAGTCATCCCACAAATTTGTGCCTGCCCTCACCTCCCTTCAGACCTTTGTCTCACATTGTGAAGATTAACAGCATGTTGCAGCATCACCATGCGGCTGTGGGGATGGTGGTGCTGGGTTTATTTTCTCAGGAGAAACAGATAAAGGTGGCACCAGCTACTACCCAACACTAAAGCTAAATCAGTAAATTTATTATTCTTTTAAACCTGACAGACGTGACAGGGGATGTTTGGGGTTTTGATCCAAAGCTTAGCAAAGCCCGTAACCTCTGTATCAACCTGACAATGAGCAACTGTGGCTGTGCTGCCCCAGCATCCATCAAATGCAATGATTAAGTGGTTGATGGCATGTGAGAGATAAAAGTCACTGTAACTAAACATTGTCACAAGATTGATGTCTCCCACTTAGAGAATATTGTCTTAACTTAGGCTTTAGTTTTTGGGTGTTCCCGTGATGGTCTCACCCTAGTGTCTGCATCCTTTACAAGTACTACCCAGACTTTAATATATCTTTCTGGCTTACCTGTGAGATAAGAGCAAGCTATCATCCTAATTTCATAGTGGGGGAAATAAGGTACCAAGAGATGATCCATAAAGCGTAATCACTCATTTTGATACCTAGCATGAGTCATATAAATCTCCAGTGCTCTGTGTAATGGGGCTGGAGGACACCTTTGCATTTGCTTTTACGGAGGTACTGCCTTGGAGGTCATGCCGCCAAGCCTAGCTCTGGTTGCCTGGGATTATTCATGTGCTGCCTGGACAAAATGGTCCTTTCCCTTTGATACAAGAGGCACTTCAGTAACGAAAAGCCTTGCCCATTCCCAAATGAGCTAGGTGCTTGAGCTCAGAGACCAAGGGTACGTTATTAGCAAAGACATGCCAAAATTGGCGTGGTCTGAAGCAAAAAAGGCATGTGAAGCCCCAGAAAGCTTGGCTTGCACATGTAAGGAAAAGGTAGCATTGGGCCTGGTAAATTCAAATGAGCCCTCTCATCCTAGGGTGATCAGTTCTGTGCACCAAGTGTGGGCTGAGAAGTTGCTGCAGTGAAAACGGAGCTGGTGCTCCCAGGGCTGGGGACAGAAATACTGGAGCTGCCTGGGGTGATTGGTTCCCAGAAGGTTTTGGTGAATGCTGAAGGTGCCCACAAGCCAGCAAGAGGTAGATGGGACACACAGATGAACTGATCTTTTTGGTGCCCCCTTTCTGCAGAAATCCCCTTTCCTGGCTCAGCTTTTGGCATGGCTTCTTGCTGACTGATGCGCAGCTTGGACATCAGAACACATTTGAGGCAAAAATGAAGTTCTCAGCAATGACTTCTGCCACTCTTAAGCCCTGATAACTAGTCAGAAGTTGAGAGCATGCTTTTCCCAAGTCCTCGAGCCCTCCCAAACTTTCCCCTCTCCCTGGCTGGCTCCTCCCCATGCACATTGCAGCGTGTTGCTGGGACAGCACCCATGCTGCAGGTAAGCCATTCCCCTCCTGTGCTTTACAGCACTAGGACTGTCAAAGTTGGCACATTTCTGAGGCTGAGTTTCTCACAGTGGCTTTGCGAGCAGGTTATTCTGCCTGCCTTTAGCTTGCTTTTTTATTTTCCATGTCTCCCAGCTTCTCTGCATGGCCAGGAGCAGGGCTGGGATGTGCTTCTCCCAGTGTGCATGGTGGGCGTGGGTCCCTGCGCTGCTGTACAAGCAATAATTAATTGCTGTCCTCAGTGAGAAGTCCCTGTTTCAGCAGTAATCAGCACAGGCCTGGAAGTGAGCAGCAGGGAGCTTCATACTCTACACTGGCACAACTGTGTCAACAAGGTTATGGCATTGAACATGGCTTTAGTGCATGGGTGTTTGGAAGCAGATAGTCTCTGCAATGAGGGTTCCACACAGCCTTTTGTATCCCCATCATTGCAGGGCTGACCGGGTATGCGCTTGGGCAGGGGTCTGTGACCCAGAGGGTGCTCCCCTCAACTGGGGTATCAGGCAGGGTAGCAAAAGTGCTTTTGTTCCAGCTAAGCTGTATCAGAAAACTGTTTTCTTTTCATCCTCTATCTAGTTTTTGGCTCTGAACTCAGTGCCCAAAACACACACACACACAAGTCAAAAGCCCAGCGAGCCAAGATAGCTGTGTCTTTATGGGGACTGTACAAACAGGAGCAGGTGGGGAGGGAAGAGGAGCCAAACAGTGGGGTCTCCCCTCTTGCTGCCCAATATTTTTGGTGATCTTTATGTGCCTGTCCCTGACTACCTTCAGTGATGTCCATGGTAGCTAGGCCTGAGCTGCAGCTCCCTCGTTTAAGCCAGACCTCCTCTATCCACTTCATTTGACTAATTCTCCACTTGATAAATCCATCATTTGCAGTGACAGAGGACAGGCCTAGGAGCACCACTGTGGCCTGCGATGCGGCACACTCCTGCATGTTTCCAGGCTAAGGTAATGTCACTACACCTCCCAGCATCTGTGCATCAAATGGGATCAGAGACCTCTGTGGGCATGGGCTGAGGAGACAGCCTGCCCACCCATTCAGCCCTGCAACAGAATGCAGTCCCAGGACCAGCAGCAACCACACAAATAAAAAGCCAAAAACTGATAAAGATTTTGCAGACAGAAGATATTTGGAAATTCTGATGAAAAAAGCATTTGACAGTTTGCAAGTTAGAGGTAGTAATTACCTATTTTGCCTATGTGACTTTTTCAGAAAGATGGGCAATGATATCACACGACTGATGGGATTTTTGCACTCTGTCCCATGCCCTTATTTTCACCATATCCCACCTCTTACCCCAGTCACTCAAGAACTGCTCCAGTGTTCACATGTTTAAATGGACAAGAATACAGATCAGTTGGACCTCGAAAATCAAGCCTTTTGTGTTTAATATATTTTCACCTCTGAGGCAAGACATTGATATTGGCTGAAAGCAAATGCTTCCAAATGGTGTCTCATCACTTACACTTCTCCAAAGAGTCCCCTACGCCCAGTCTTTCAGTGCTTTGTGTGTCTAGACTTACTTCAGGTACTGAGCAGAGATTGAACTTGCAGCAGTACACAAAGTATTACATTCAGTGAACTGGAACCACTCCCCCCCCCCCCCCCCCCCCCAAAAAAAAAGACATTCTGAGAAGTTCCCTGAACATTCTTAAAATAGATTTTCCCATCTTTTAGGGTTGCATGCAGAACCCTGCCTGATTAGGTCTGGGAATCTGTTGTTAATTTGCTCATTAGAAGGTGTTTTTAAAGTGGCTTTCAGCACTCATGAGTTTTGTGCTCTTTCTAAAACTCTCACTAAACTTCCAGTAGCAAACTCCAGCAGAGGGGAATCGTGCACTTGGTAGGTCCCATCAATCCCCTAAAATCAATCCCAAACTCCCCCAGCTCCCTTCTCTCAATATGGTGCCAAGGCAAAGATCAAACATATGTGCATCCCCAAATCAGCCATGATTGAGAAGTCCTGGGTGAAATAGATGTGAATGACTTTTACCTATCTATCCCAGGAATGTACCCTACTGCCTTTGACAGTTTGCATGAGCACCAGCAAAGAGTCCTGTGCAGTGACGCATGCAGACAAGCAATGTGGCTGGGAGTGCAGTGGGGAATGCCAAGGATGCCACAACAGGAAGCGTGGAGACGTAACACATCCAAGTGGGGTAACTGAGGCAGATGGAGCAGGAATGCGATTAAATTATCCCTGCGGGATTTGGCTGAGACGCCAGGCCATGCTGAGCTCATTCCCCAACAGAGGGAGGACGCGAGCAAAGCAGGTCTAGCTGTTTATGTTTTGTTTTATCAGATAGGACCAAGCGTCAGCAGCAGCAAATGTTGTGGTTTGGGAAAAGACGTACTTCAGCTCATTTCACGGTTCCTTCTCCTGAAGTACAGTTAGTGGAGGAAGAGCGAGCAAATGAAAGTCTCACTGGGTCTGCTGCTGTAGGAAATTGAGCCACCTGCGAAGTCTTGCCAGGAAGCCAGCAAACACTGGAGGGGCAGATCCTTTGCATCCCAAAGCAGTGGCCATTGCCTTGCCAGGTGCACATGGAGCCACCTCTGAAGGAGCTACATATGGCTTTAGTTTTGCATATGCTTGCCCCTCTGTGACAGAAAACCTGGCTGCTCTGGCTGACAAATGGGTCCCAAATCCCTGATCTGCATCCACGGGGGTCTTGAGTAAGACATGGGGATGATGATGAAGTGCAGCAAGTGGCTCCTCTACAGCTAGTCTGAGCTCTACAAGCTTGGTCCTGCCCAAGAGAGTGTGTTGAGGGAAACCTTTGCAGGCTAATGCAGTGTGCAAGCTACAGTCCCTTGTTTGGTCTCCTTCTTCAGTGTGGCCAGGAGTTCTTTCTTTCAAAGGTTTTCACCTGAAAATGCAATTTAATCCAAAGTAAAACTATCTGCAGAAAAAGAGCAGCTTTGATATAAGCGAATGCACACAGTCTCTTGTCACTAGTTTCAGCTCTGGGGAATTCTGCACCAAAAATATTTTAGGTTCAGTAAAAGTATTACAAATGCAGTGAACATGGAGTAAAAATATTGGGAAAGGTCAACAACACTGAAACGTTTTGTTGCCATTGACCTTCTCTGAATATATTCGTCGCAACTCAGGCTTCAATAAAGTTTCTCAACTTTTGGTTTTTACCTGATTCAGGAAAGAGAAAACAAAATTTGAGTATTCTGGAAATTTTCACAGCATTGGGGAACAGTTTCCCACTTAGTTTGTTGGTTATTCTCTAAGTATCAAGGCTCTTTGCTCTTGTGCTGCACTACATAGCAAATATGCACATACTAAATCAGACATACAGCTCATCCTAATATCCAGCTGCTAAGCAGGCTGAGACCTGTGTGACAGAAATAGGACATGTTTTCAGATGCCACTTGGGAAATACTAGATTTTACACAAGACATGAAGATTGTCTCCATGCTGGTAAGTGTTTTTAAAATGCAATCGTATTTTGGGGTGGTGGTGATGGGAAGAGCTTGAGATTCTCTTCTGCATTAATAAGTCCTCTGAGTGTTCCTTTCTTAGGTTTTGCACGGACCTGAAGTGCCTTGTATGAGGCCCTGAGAAAGCAAGAGCACCAGTCTATTGATACAGTGTGGTTTGTTCCCTTTTCTTTCTGAGTACAATTTGGGATTATTCCTACCAGGCCGTTTGCACTTTAAGCACAGCTTCCCAAGTTCCATCACTTACTTAGGACACAGCCATGTCCAGCAACACCAGCAACAGTGGAAGCAGATCTGTGGCTCATACAAAAGCTGGAAAAAAGTTTTTCAAGAATTTGAAAAGCAATTTTCATAAGAATTGGTTTTGGCCAATAACCAAGGCATCCCTCATCACAGATCTAAATCCGTAAAAAGGACCTCAGCAGAACTGCTTTACCTCCCAAATACATTTCCTTTGAATGACTCCTGCCTTTACCAGGTTGCACACTGTTTATAGGTTAAACCAAGGCAGTTTTTGCCCCTACCTGGCAACAGTGCAAGTCTCGCACTGTATCTGAGCAAGAAGTGAGGTTGCTTCCAGTCTTCTACGCAAGTCAGGATGTTTATTTAAAAGTTTCCAGATACATGGACTGTGACAGAGCTCTGAACTTCACTGTAATTTCTGAAGTAGTTTCTTAAGGGTTTCAATTCACATCTGAGAAGAGGATTCTGGTGGCTCTTGGTACATTCATATCCCTGTGTTTGCATTTCCTTGTTTTAAGCTGTCCCCTACCACATACATGCTGAGGTCAGGATTCAGCTGGTGGCCTTGCTGGTGGGAGAAGCAGAAACTGGCCTGCAGTTCCCTCTCTTAGTTTTGCACTAACTTGGGAGTGCTGACTTCGGTGAAAACTTGTTTTTGTCAGTGTTCAAAGCTGCTTGCATGTTACTCAAGAGGCAGAGAGGCAGTAGACCCGAACTGGTTAAAGTCACTTCTCTGACAGCAAACTTTGTCCTCTCCCAAAAATGCTAATTTCTAGTGCCAGCCCCAGAAAAGCTGTCCAACTTCTCCCCCCCCACACACACAATCCTGATTTTTGACAAGCATTAGATGTTGTGGCACTTTTTTCTTTCCTCAATAGAGGAACACATCAGAGCACCTTTTTTTTCTTTCACCAACAAGCTGAGAATGCTGAACAGGCAGCTGAAGAGCAACCAAGGTTTTAGTGCCAACAAGTGTTGCTGTATGGATCTTGGGATGTTTGTGAGCAGGTTTCTTTGAGAAATGGGGCAAGTCCCAGGGGTAGTTTTGCCATGAGCAGCTTTGCCGGTTGTCCTTCCACGTAGTGACAGCCAGGCAGCCAAAGGATCAGCCATTCCTGTGCCACGAGTACTCATGAGTCCCTCTGATCAGGAGGGACTGATCCAGATGAAGGCAAAGGATAGGAGCAGAGGTTGCAAGGACCTATGCCCCCCAGCAGCCTTCAACTGAGCTCAGCTGTGGCAGCTGGATGTACATCACAGTAGCCCTGAAAAGTCTCTTTCTTATGACAGCTGAAGCTGATGTTGCTTTAGGTCAGACATTGCCTCTGACCCAGCACCATTCAGTTTGGCCTGGATCTAAAACCTGCTCTTCCCTGGGGGCCTGTTGAGAGAAGAACCAGAGCTGCTCCAAGCTGTGCAGCCCTTTGGCAAAGAGCCATCATTTATAGCCCTGATCACAGCCATGCTACTGCACATGATAGCCAAGGAAACCTGCAAGAACTGTAGGTTTGAAACATGCCCATGAGCCATAGATGACTCTCCTCTGGCTCATTAACTCCTGAAAATACTTTAGCCAGGACCAGCTTGCTGAAAACACCCTCAAAACTCAATGACACAGAGACAAGAAGGTGGCTGGTTAGATATAACTACTTAGCTACCTTCCTAACCATTGTCCACCCTTATTAATGGTTAAACTCTCACAGTGTCATATCTTGCTGTTCCTGGCCAATTTGAACTCTTTCAGGTGGAAGGGAGGGTGAAGAATGGAGGAGAAACAACACCAAAGACATGTTTGTATTCCTGAAGACACCCATGTAAACAGCATCTCAGGTTACCTGTAAGTGGCATTTGCTTTCCCATTAAGGGATATTTATTGAATTCAGAACTTCATGAATGAGTAGGGCCTTAGCCTTGTCTTGAAATGGGCGAGCATGTATGTGTGCATAACTCCCATTCTTTGTATTTATATGGCGTTCTTCCCTCATCTCCACAGTACCACAGAGCCTCAGTTTTATGCTTATTTATCTCCATGGTCTCTTGAGGACTTTTTAAAAAATGGGGTATGACTAATTTACCCAAAGTCAGAAAAAAACCCTGGTGTCAGCACGGAGGTTTGAGTTGAGTATTTGTCAGCATGGCAAGTGGATCACCATGAAGTCCTTCTAGTGTACCTCAGATCTCACGGCAGCCCTTTGGCCTTGGGCACCTGACCTTCTTTTTGTGTGGGGAAGGGTGATGAAGCTGTGCCAGGCTCGTGCTCTCATGGGACTATGTGCCTCATGGGCGCCCATGCATGGCACACACGGAGTCACAGGGGCTTTGCGTGGCCACAGGGCTGTGGGCAGGTAACTCATGCCCCTGCTTGGTCACTGACAATCTCAACCCTTCACTGACCTGAAACTGCTGATAGTAATAGATTTGCTAACCACATGTTTTTCCTGTTGCAGTCATATGCTCAATGAGAATTAAGCTGAGTCCACTTCCTTACTCTTTCTCCTGCCCAATGGCCATGACGTGATATTTGAACCATGTATGTGTGAACCTTTTTTTATAGACAAAGACCTGTACCCAGCCTTTGCCTGAGACTTGGACCAAACTACACTTGGCCCTTCTGTCAGTTTGAAAAGTTCAGTCAACCTTTTTTTTCAACTTTCACATTCCTCTGCCCTCTTTGGGATTTGACTGAAGGCAAAGGCACCAAAATACCCTGAAAAATGCTGTCTTGTCATGATTTCTGACCTGCTAAAACCAGTTTTTCTGATTCTGATCAATTCTTATGATTTCCAGGCCAAAAAACAATTTGGGCAAGGTTCCAGCTGACATCCAGGCCAACACTTTCAAGTTCTCTCATTGACAGGTAATCAGTCAAAAATCTCTCTCCTGAGTTTGG